CAACCTCAATTGTCTCTAGTGCCCATCCCATCTATCTTTTTGCCTCAGTTCCTTCTCTATCCTACATACCCAGTCCCTACAGTGCTCCTTGCCTGGCTCCACATGAACTGAACTTACATGGCTCCTGTTCTTCTCACAGCTCCTTGGTTCAACCCCACCTCCCTCCTTGGATGACTCACTCTGTCTGTTTCCTGAACCAAGAATCACATAATGGCTGCACTGCAGGACATGGTGACTTCCTTATATTTGGTTTTGTCACTGGGAATGATATGCAACTTAGCCACCCTCCCACAAGAGATTTGAGAAAGATTTTATTTCATACTTGGGAACATTAAGCAGGAGGAAAATGTTTTCAGTGTAATTAGCTTGATCCCACTATTTCACAAAGTAGATCTATTTTAAAATATAACTGTGCATACACTAAATACATAGAACTTTTACTTTCCCATTAAACATAAATTGATTTTGTAGGGTTATACTTTATAATAAAATGGAAGGAAGGGCCAGTCTTTCCACCCCTTTGCTTTTTATCTGGTCATATGCCTCTTATTAGAAAACAATAATCAAAAGACAAAAGCCACATCCTCCTAAAAATGCTGTCAACTGACTTTGGGGACAATGATCATAAGTTTCATGGAGCTGCTCCAAACTACAAACCACCACAAAAGAATGAGATCATTCTGAAACATCTCATTCTTGAACACCATAAAGCAAGGTCCTGTTGGGAAAATTTCATTTGACCCCCAGAAATTCTCAGTTAAACAGCTCTGAGTCAGAGAAACGCTGCCAGCCACTACCATGAGAAGATGTTAAGATACCGGTAAGCCACAAGCCATGTGGCAACTTATAGACTAATAGATATGGGTTAATTTAAGATGTAAGAACTAGATAACAAGAAGCCTGCCATGGCCATACAGTTTGTAAGCAATATAAGTCTCTGTGTGTTTACTCGGTTGGGTCTAAGTGGCTGCGGGACTGGCAGGTGAGAGAGATTTGTCCTGACCGTGGGCCAGGCAGGACTGGAGAAAACTCCAGCTACAAATGGTGCCCAACAGGTTGGCAAGAGTTTCCAGCTAAAACCTGAGAAAGAAGATTCTAAAACGGAGCTAAAAACAGCTTCCTAGTTGTCTCTCTCAAGTTAGCAGCAGCCTGTGGGTTTCAGGTACTATGGTGGGTTCCTGGAGTGTGAGCTTGACCGGCAGTGTGGTGGGAAGGAGGCACCTCCAAGCCGCACATTATGCTGCTGCTGTGTGGTGGATTTAGCCTTTGCTACACGGTACTTGGATAAAAACATAGACCCACTATGGCTCCCAGAGCTGATGGTAATGTACCACCATCATATTGGGAAGCTGAGGGGGCAGAGCCAGCAGCCACAGCACCATTTCAATCTTACAAATGCTGCTGTTTAAACCAATAGATTCACAATAAGACAGATTCAGATGTAATAGTTTACAATGTGTGTAAAATATACATAGGCTTCAAAGAGACAAAAAAGGTGATAGATACAGTTATTTAAACAAATACATAGTTTTAAAAAATAAAGTCTTTAAAGAGACAGTAAAATCAATATTAAAAAATAAGCCACGTAAAGATGGATATCACACAGAGAATCTGGATTATGTTGTCTTTGATATTCTTAATTGCAGAAAAACATTTGATCGTAAAAGCTGTTGAGTTAAATCAATATGTATATTTTAAAGATACCCTGACTTTAAAATTTGGATCTAAGGATATGTTGCTTTGGAAAGGAGGCTCTGCTTTTGTTTCCACAGAAAGCCAGAGGCTATGGATTTATTCCAGATTAAAATACATCAGGTTTAACCAACCAAGACCTCCTGAAAGGTCTCAGATGACACCATGTCCCAGATGATCCAACATCCAGAACAGTTTCAAGGCAACTGGCTCAGACAATACACCCTCATGGACTACTATATAATCCTACAATTTTCTTTGTGTCCCCATAAGATACAGCACCCCCCTCCAGCAGGAAGTAGTAAGAGAAGCTATGCCCAAATTCCAAAATATACCAAGCTGGCTTTGGAGATGGAATTGGCTCACTCCTTCTCTAAACCCAAACATATTGTTAAAAAAAAAGGTTGAGAGATTCCTTTGTCCCAAATTAGAAGAGCCCTCTGGTGTGGGACAGAGAAAAACCAATATTTTTATTTAAATGAGGTCAATTATAAATGTGATCTCTTTCTAAAGAAGAAAAGGAGATGTGATATAGATATGATAGAATAAAAGGGAAGATTATTGAATCTACTTTTAAAGAGCAACTTGTTTAAAAATGTTTTACATTGCTATAGATTTTAGTTTATTGATAAAAATTTAAAGTTAATTTTGTTATATTGTATGTGTATTTTTACTCTTGTTTAAGGTATTATGTTTGTACAGCTCATTTAAAATTGTAATGGATAATTAAGAAATAGATTAATAATTAGTCATCTATGATAACCATACTTGTAGCCATGATAGTTAAGTTTTCTAGGTATACACAGATGTAATTCAATTAGACAGGTAATCTTCAAACACTTCAAAGACCAACAGAATATGGCATTTAAAATGTTTTAAAAATTTAGACTTTCTGGACAGTGAGAAATGTCTGCTCCTGGCAGCACCGATTTACTTCAGAGAGGAGGATGGACATCAAAGACACTCTATATGGAGTTTATCTTCTTCTTGGCAAAAATAGCCATTTGGGCAAGGAACTGATCTTGCCTGGACTGCTTGATTGACTGGACATGCAGGACCCATAGGAAGGTGACTACTGAACTTTGCTTGACAAGATGGTCCTTCAGGTTCCTGCTTTGCAGAGGAAGCTGCCAGACATTCTACAGGACACAGAGAGAAGTGACTGAGAGACTTGAGGCCTGTGGGCTAAAGACAGGTGCCCCAACTTTACAGAAAAACATTAGGTGACTGCCTAGGCTGCCAGCTGTCTCTGTCTACTGTTGCAAGACTCCCAAAAGTTGCTTGTGTCCTTCTTCCATTTCTCAGATAATATTATATCCTTCTGGGGTCTTTGATGTAGTTGAAGACTAGATAGTTATAATTTCCTTAGTTATGATAAAAGATAATTTAGATATGAAACCTTAGACTCACAAATATAGGATAGGATATCTTCTTTAATTTTGCCAAATACAAATAGACTAGATATTGTAACTGTAATTCTTGCTAGATAATTGTTTTGTTATATGTAATTTTACTATGTGAAAGTTAAAACCTTCCTTTTTGAAAAAAAAAAAAGAAAAGGGGAAGTGCTGTGGATATTGCTCTGTATAAATAAAATGCTGATTGGCCAGTAGCCAGGCAGGGAGTATAGGCAGGACAAGCAGAGAAGAGAATTCTGGGAACAGGAAGGCTGAGTCAGAGAGACACTGCCAGCCGCCACCATGAGAAAACTCCAGCTACACCCCATTGTACAAACAAGGAATCTGAGGCACCGAGAGAAGGAGCTTGCCCTCAATTGTTCATCCAGTAAGTGAGCCCATGTTATAACCTAAGTCTGAGGTTACTCTTGGCTCTTTGTCTCCTTTCCTATGTTTCTCAAGGAGTAATCCCTCTCTCATTCCAGTGTCCCTAGATTATCAAGACTGTCAGATATAAAGATGTAGCCCAGGAACAGACCTTTGTAACAGGCTCCCAGTTTAAAAAACAAAATGCCTAGGTAAGCTGAACATTAGATCAACAAGAGGACTAGTGGGAGGCCTTTATTATTAAACACACAGAAAGAAATAGAGAGAGAGACAGACAGACACACAGACAGAGACTGATAGGGGGACAAAGAGATTATGTAGTGGTTAAGAGAACCTTGTTACTCTTGCATAAGACCTGGGTTCTATTTCTAGCACCCAGAACCTACATAGTAGTTCACACCTGTCCCTAACTCCAGTTATAGAGGATCTTATGCCCTCTTCTGATGCCTCAGGCACCAGGCACACCCACAGCATGCAGACATACATGCTGGCAAAATACTCAAACACATGAAAATAAATAAATCTAAAAAATTTTAAACGTATGGATATATATATATATATATATATATATATATCCATTGATGATCTGATTCAAACTGATCTAGTTGTATGGGGGTTTGTTGCTATTGTTTTGGTTTGCTTCTTTGAGACAGGGTTAGACTTTGTGACCCAGAATGACCTGAAACTCATTATGCAGCCCCAGCATGCCTTGAACTCATATCAACCCTCTTGCCTCCTCCACCTATGTACTGGGATTACAAGCATGATCACCTGTCCAGCTCTTATTGTTTTTAGTTTTGTATGTGAATATAATTTTATATAAAATTTATAGATATAGATATAGATATAGATATGAAACACATATATATGGAAAATACACACACACACACACACACACACACACACACACACACACACACACATATTCCTCAGAGGACTAGAATGTCCACACAAGTTTAAAAACCCATTCTCTCTTTCTCATTTGAGGATCAATAAGTATTCAATCATTGTTCATTTTCCATTTCCCTTTAGCCCGTCTTGTTCCCCACCCTCACCATGGAGGTGACTTTAATGCCACATACTTTGGCTTTACCTCATAAGCAATTCTGTACAGGGACCAGAGGGCACCTGGATAATACCCCTTTCCTTCTCAACCCAACCCCAAGATTCTATGAAACATTCTAAGTAAATAAACTCACAAGATTGCCTGAATCTTACCTACTGCCTATCTCTCTCCATTTTGTCCAAGCACAAATTACCCACAAGACTCTGTAAGCTTTACAGTTTGCCGGAACCACTTTTAGGGCATCATTTAGGCTTAGGTCATATGGAAATTCTACCAGTTGTAAAAACTCACAAGTTTTGAAAGCAAGAAACAATTCATGGCAGAAAAGTAGCAAAGAATTATTTCCCTTTTTGTCCATAGGCTGATGGCAAATTTTATATATCTACCAGGCTGCCCTCAATACAATTGTTTATAAGATGGACTCACAGTTAAAGAAAAAATAGTCATCCTTTAAAGAATGAGAGTTTAAATTAAGAAAGGTTTTATTTTTAAAACAAAACAAATGCATTAACACACATCCAAATGACACAGCAAGCATTTGTTGGGTTTTATGAGAGGAAAGAAACTACACTCTGGTGTCAACTAAAAACTAGAACAATTTTAGAACAACCACGGCTTATGGTGAGGTGGACACATGGACATCTAAGAAGCCACTGTGTGTTTGCAGCTGTGTGAAATGTATGAGCAATGTGAAGTAATGGAAGGTGGAGTGGCTGTAGTCTCACTTTCAGACCCTTTCCCCACTATGTGCTCTTGTTCTGTCCTGTTGAGTTAGTCATCAGGTAAATGTACAAAGAACTTAATATCAAAGAAACTTCCAAAAGTCAAAAATAGATTCAAGGTCATGGCTAGTTACCCCAGAGGTTGGGGGAGGGGAATTCTCAAAAGCCATATTTCACAAAATGGCAGGCACTAAATCTAGTCACATGTGTTTGCAGTAAAAAAAAGAAACACTGGTCTTAATAGAGACTGGTCTTCTTCATGATGCGCAGGAACTCTTGCTCATTGACCTCGCCATCTCCATCTCGATCAGCTTCATCAATCATTTCCTGCACGGCAGTAAGGGTTCATCTTAGATTAAGTCACAAACTAAACTAAAAAGTGACTAGACAAGAAACCTCAAATAATGCTATGAGGAAAGACAACTGTAGTCTATCTAATGTGAGTGTGTCACTTTTTGTGATAGTTATTTGAAAACCAAATCACACATATTGTCAAATGTATCAATTGAAAAGGAGTTAGAATGTAACCCTGAAACCTGAATCCCAAAAGAGTAAGTTCAACTGTACATGTGTATTCCAGAAGCATGGTCCATGGGCATTAAATTATCACCAGAAGCATAAGGAATACTAGCTTCCCTTCAAAGAAGTTGTCCTGGTAGAGAAAACAGAAGCTGGGAAAGCCAGGGGGCTCAAAGGTTGGGGGTTGAGTTTCTGACTAAGGCATTACTCACCTGCAGCTCCTCATCAGTCAAGTTCTCGCCTAGCTCCTTGGCCACACGCTTCAGATTTTTGAATGATATTTTCCCAGTTTCATCATCATCGAAGAGCTTGAAAGCTTTCAGGATTTCTTCTTTGGTGTCTTTCTCGGACTTTAGCAGAATATAAAACAGATAGTTACTCATATCCTGCAGCCTTACCACTTCTTGGTCATCCTTTTGTGTAGATCTAACCAACCATCTTATTAAATAAGAAACACAGAGCCAATACAGAGATGAAAGCCAAGAGATCAGAGCAATAGCTAAGAGCTAAAAACCTTACCCTTCCTCTCGTGGTGGTCCTACCTCTCCGAAGTGAGAGGAAGGGTAAGGTTTTTAGCTCTTAGCTATTGCTCTGACCTCTTTACTTTCATCACTGTATTGGCTCTGTGTTTCGTATTTAATAAGATGGTTGGTTACATCTACATCTGGCGCCCAACATTCGTGGTACTAATTCTCGAAAAAGCTACTTGCCTGTGGGCCTTGTGGACCCCAGCTCAGGCCCGAGCTATACTCGGCCGGTTGTGGTGGTGCACGCTGGTTGGATTTGCTGAAGGAGGCAGAGGCAAGAGGATCCCGAGTTTAAGGCCAACCTAGGAGAAGCTTCGGCCAGGACCGAACCACAAACAGTGGTGGGACCATGGAGGCAGTGACTGCTGCTCCGAGTTGCTGGCTCCTTCTCATCATGTTGGTGACTGCGGTGATGTTGCTACCTGGGACAAAAGGTTTACTGTTGCTGGTTCAGAGAACAATTGCCAGGACCATCGTGTTACAAGAAAGCATTTGCAAAGGTCAGTTTGGAAAAGTTTGGCAAGACAAATGGTGGGGAGAAATTGCTGTGAGGATATTCTCTTCTAGGAAAGAACATTCATGGTTCCAAGAGACAGACATTTATCAGACTGTGATTGCTCCAAACCACAGAAGAGGGAAAAAAAAAAGTCTGCAGGGAACCATGACCACGCCTAACAGTGACTTTGAAATCTTCAAAAAAGATGACAGGATCCTACAACGATGATTCCACATGGACTATGGTAAAGCCATTAAGCTGATTAACACCACAGAAATATCAACTTTGGACTACAAACTGGTCAGGACAATTTCAAGATGACTAGCTGAGATGATCAGTCTGACAGACTACTTGAACAAGGACTTGTGACAAGCCCTGAACTTTCCTATTATGCAGAGACTGGACAAATGATACAGGACTTGACAATTAACCCAAAAATTTTCTTTTCAAGATTCCCTAAAGATATCTTCACCCCTAGAAAGCAAAAAGAAAAAGAGAATATAGATATGAAATATATCATCGAATCTACTCTGAGAAAAAAGATAAAGAAATAATAGGATAAATAGGTAGATCACTGAATCTACACTGAAGGAAAAGGGGAAGATATAAAAATGACAAAAGGTAGACTACTGAATCTATTATGAAAAGAAAATAGAGATAATATGGATATGATAAGGTTTAAAGGGAGATTATGGAATCTACTTTTAAAAAGGAACTACTTGTTTTAAATAAGATGAGTAATGAAAATTTCTTGTCTGAGTTTATCAAATGTTACTGGACTGGACATTGTTTTATATATATAATGGAGTTTTTTATCTGAATCTGTCAAATGTTAATGGACTCGACATCGTTAATGTAATTCTTGACTGTATACATTGTATATACTTATTGGATAGTTTTTCTTGTATTAGTTGTAAGCTTTTTTTAAATTTTAGACAAAAAAGGGGAAATGTGGTGGTATTTTGTTTCCCGAAATATTGTGCACCCTAATAAACTTACCTGGGGTCAGAGACAGAACAGCCACAATATTAAACATCAGGACAGGCAGTGGTAGCACATGCCTTTAACCCTAGCATTCCAGAGGCAGAAATCCCTCTGTTCAAGGATACAGTTAAGCATGGTGACACACACCTTTAATCCCAGAAAGCAAGCCTTTAATCCCAGGGAATGATGGTAGAAAGCAGAAAGGTATATAAGGCGTGAGGACCAGAAACTAGAAGCATTTGGCTGGTTAAGCATTTGGCTGGTTAAGCATTTTGGCTGGTTAAGCATTTGGTCTGGTTAAGCATTTAGGCTTTTGAGCAGCAATTCAGCTGAGACCCATTCTGGATGAGGACTTAGAGGCCTCCAGTCTGAGGAAGCAAGACCAGCTGAGGATCCAGCGAGGTGAGGTAGCTATGGTTTGTTCTGTCTCTCTGATCTTCCAGTGTTCACCCCAATAACTGGCCTCGGGTTTGATTTTATTAATAAGAACTTTTAAGATTCATGCTACACTTTTGTCTCCAATAACCTGACTGAGCCATGTTAGGAAGTCAGGCAAGCCAGGTTCTCTGGTCCACGGTGGAATGTATTCCCTGCCTATTTCCTATCTCATCATCTATTTCATAATCAGCTCAGAATCAGTAGGAAAAGACGCAGCTTGTGGAAAAGCCAAGAAGTCCTGATAAATGAGCATAAGCACTGGTTTAAGGAGCTAATGAATCATGTAGGGAGGATAGACTCCTGGTGATGCTGGACAGTTTTTGCAGGCAGAAGACAACAACTTCTGAAGTAAGCTGGGGCTCATCTTTCCAACACCCAGCATTGGGTATTACTAGGTATATATACTGATTGCCCCGCTTGTACTTTGTCCTGTTCAGAACTTTCCCCACTTCTAAAGCCAAGAGTGGAAAATATCTTCTTAGATTAAATCCCTGGCCCCATCCCACATGGTCCTGGTGATAGCCATTGTGATATATGCCCTCAGTCACAGAAAAACAAGTATGACCCATTGTAGAAAAAGACGACAAAGTCAGTAAACTTAACATAAACTCAGGGGTTACAAAGGAAATGTAATTTTACAAAGGAAATCTAAAACACTGTACAAACCAAGGAGATTCTAGATTCATTTTTGAAATACAGAAGCAGTAAGTAGGGTTATAAATAGAGAAAATACATTGTTTATGCTAACAGAAGACAGAGATATACTGATAAGGGTGGAGGAAGAAAGAGGCATTTTGCACACTGGACTTCAAAGAATTACTGGGGCCCTGAGTACTCCATCAAAAAAGAGAGTAAAATTTTCAAAAACATTCAAACCTTAAATATTTCAGGAAGGTTCTTGCCAGGAGCTATAACTGGAGATAAACCTTAGGAAGAACAATCTAGGAGCCAGTGTTAAATGTGAATTAGATTTGCTAAGTGGTTGCAGAATACCAAGCTTCCTGATTTCTTAAATCAATACACACATGCATATGCACGAAGGTGCGCGCGCACGCACACGCACGTGTGTGCGCACACACACACACACACACTCACACTCACACACAATGTAGGTATGGTGATTTCAAAGCAAATCAACTGTTAAAGAGGTATGGCCTGTGCCCTGGGAAACACCTTGAGGAACCTGAAAGGGGTTACCTTTCTCCAGGTATACTGAGAGAAGGTGAGCCAGACCAACAAGCCAGAAGGCCAATAAAAGAGTAAAGATGGTCTGATTCGGGTGACATGTTCATGTTCTCTCAAACCTTTGGACCTGCTAAAAGGATCTGAAAAACTACGGATGGATGAAAGAAACTTTAGAAGTACCAAAACAACTTATCATTTCCAAAGCTCAAAATTCTTGTGCCTCCAATTGTATATACTGAATTGTCAAAATGAGAAGCATTTATCTGAAAATGCCACGATACCTGATTTATTGTATGCTAATTTAATTTTTAATACTATTAAAGTAAAAAATTAAAATGAGAAGCATTTGAAAAATCTGTGTTAACAGGTTTTTACTGCTTGTGATTATCATGTGGCTATATGAGACAAGATAAAATAATTTCTGTAATGCTATGACCTTAAAGAAAGCTAAATGAGGGGCTGGAGAGATGGCTCAGAGGTTAAGAGCACTGGCTGTTCTTCCAGAGGTCATGAGTTCAATTCCCAGCAACCACATGGTAGCTCACAACCATCTGTAATGAGATCTGGCACCCTCTTCTGGCCTGAAGGGATTTATGCAAGCAGAAGCAGAACACTGTATACATAATAAATAAATAAATAAATAAATCTTTAAAAAAAAGAAAAAGAAAAAAAAGAAAGCTAAATGAAACCTAGGAATCCTTTCAATTAAAAATATAATCCTCAACCATGTGAATGGTATAGAGTTTATTGAATGAAGTTCTTTTTATGTCTAGATTCCCATGTATCTACCATTATGGATAGAAAGTATGCTCATTATCTCAACTAACTTACCATTTTCTGAGTCATCACTGTCAAAAAGTCACTAAAGTTCATTTTTCCTGTCCCTTCCTTATCAATTTCACTTATCATCTTCTTGATTTCTTCTTTCTTGGGTTCAAAGCCCAGCGCCCTCATTGCAACCTACAATGAAAACAAGATCATCTAAATAAACACACGTAAATGATGTAGAAGCAAAAATGACTGTTGAGGATATTAACCTAACACCTCATAAAATGATGAAAAATGATCAGGTAGCACTGTAATGCTGATTTAATTTATAATTGTAATCAACTTTATCAATTAGATCATTGTTTCAGGTAAAATATACACAGGGTACCTTTTTCTGTTACTTTTTACAGGGAGAAAGGAGAAAGGTGACAGATAAAAGACAAGCAACAGGGAAACACAAGGTGGCAAAGCAGGAATGTGGAGAGCTTGCCTTTAGTTCCTTGATGTCTATAGTTCCAGTTCCATCAGCATCAAAAAGATCAAAAGCTTCCCGGATCTCCTGTTTCTGTTCTTCAGTCAATTCAGGCTTAGGGCTCATTCTTTTTCTCTGGCTACTCGATGTCATGTTTGTCTTCTTAAAATTAGAGGCCTTCAGACATTATACAAATACAGAAGCACAGTATTATAAGCCACAGTCCATATTTTATTTATGACAGTTGTAGATACCCATATCTATTTCATTTATGCTCCATTCTGAGTAATGCACATATGACATTACATAAACTTCTGTAAGCTGGTGAGATGTCTTGCTGTCAAGCTTGACAACCTGAGTGGGAACCCAGGACCTACATGGTAGAAAAGGAGAAACAACTCTTCCAAGTTGTTCTCTGACCTCCATGCTCAGCCTAAGTCATGCTCTCCTTCTCCCCCACACAAATAACAAGTGTAAAAGCTGAAGTAAAATTAACCCCAACTCTGAAAAAAAATCCTCTGTGAAGAAAAATCTTTCAATTTACAACTGTTTTAATAAATATATTTTAGTTTTTACCACCACATTGTAAAAAATAGAAAATCAGCAATACAGTAATTAAATATGGTTGTCTTCTACCATAACTGTAAATTAAAACATCATTTCTATTAATAATGTGAAATATCACATTATTAAAAACAACTATATTTCATTGGGGAGCCACCAGCTTGAAGGGACTTTTTGTTTTAAAATAACTTATTACCATTTTCCTCCTTGTTCCTGTACAGATCAACATTGAGCAAGTGAATATACATATATGAATTTCTGGTGTTAACATGACCAGTTTTTCATCAGAGGATATAACTGAACTTCCACTGTCTTAAAGTTTATGCTACAGAAAGTTTATGTACCTTTAATCATCATGTCACTTTAGGAAAGTAAATTTTTTAAATCAAAATTTCTTAAATCAAAATTTTAAAAATAAAGAAACAACAGTAAAAACTCTTTGAATTGGTAAGCTGGGCAGTGGTGGTGGTGCACAACTTTAATCCCCGGCACTCAGGAGGCAGAGCCAGGCCCATCTCTGTGATTTCGAGTCCAGCCTGATCTACAAAGCAAGATCCAGGACAGGTGCCAAAACTACACAGAGAAATCTTGTCTCGAAAAATCAAAAAGGAAAAAAAATAAACCCTCTTTGAATGAGACTATCATTTTTACCTAAAGATTCAACATGCTTGAATTTTCTCCTTTTCCAAAGCTAATAAACAGCAAAAGTGAGACCATATCTGTTTGTAAGGAACAAGCTTATCATTTTATTATGAATAGACTGTCACAAATTTCCATATTGTATATTCAATTAAAAAAAAACATGGTGTGGCTTCAGTTTTCATTACCAAAGATGAAAATGATCCCTCCCTGTTCTAATGCCACTATTAACTCAGACAGCTGATAATTAACAGAAAAAGTTTATACCAATCGCTTCTAAAGATCTGTCTAATAAATTGAGAGATAACAAAGTTTGCTGGAAAGAACAATTAATCTTTCCATGAACCTCTGACTCTTTTTTTTTAACTATTGATTTTAGAAGCCAGGGAATCCCTTATTCTTCATCCTGAAAGAGAGCTAGCTGAAAAACCAATTATGGATACTTAACAGATATCAACTGTCCCTGAATCCGAGGATCTGAGTTCTAGAAATGTACTTAAAACATCTACTTATGGTGCTAGCTCTCATGAACTCTGTTCCTCCGATTAATTTTTCCTAAATTTGGCCAAATGTAAAGTTACTAAGATAACTTTGCAGGAAAAAATAATAAGAACCAATCCATTTGGTATTTGCGTGCCTTGTCTGCGAAGCTCAAAGCATCTGCTGAAAGCCATCAGAACACAGTAAACCTCTTAGCACTAATGCATAAACTTTAGCCAGGTGGCAGTGGCCAGGAGGCCTGAGTCTGACTGAGGCCAGGGTCTGTGGGAAGCCTAAGTGTTCCTTGCAACAGAATGATCACCTGCAGTTCCAGGAAAACCAGCAGAGGTCGAGAGGCAGGTTAGGGGTGATTGAAAGTGACTGGGGGTGGGGAGGGAGCAGTGGTTAAGCGCAGGCAAGCTAACTGCGGGCAGCTACACTTTCCTACCCTTCCTGCATAGAGTTCTAAGAAAGAACTAATGCATCACCGTGAAGAACCATGCAGGAAAGGTTGTAGGGCCTCAATGAGGCCTAGGAAGGGCTCGGGGGCGCCGCGTAAGGTCCATGGAACTCCCTGTACTTACCATCGCCAAATGGACTCCTCTGCGACCTGTAGTTAAGGCAACGAAGTACTCGCAGCCTCGGCGCCTTTCCCACCGCTCCGCGCGCGCGACACCGGCTTCCCATAGGTTTGCAGAAGAAGCAGGAGGGGCTAATCTAGCTAGACCCGCCCCAAGGTAAGAGGGCAGTGCGGCGGTTGTAAGGACTGGCTTCATTGGACAAAATCGCGCTGCGAGCTTCAATTGGCTGCGCCGAGCAGAGCTAGACCAATCAACATGATGAAGGAAGCTCGGCTGATCATGGGCTCATACCTCTCCATAGAAAAGGGTGACAGTCTCGGGTTGAATTTCGTGGTTTGCAGGTTGCTAGCAAGCTGAAGTCAACCGCAAGATTGTCTAAACCGGGTAAGAGCTGCGGCCTTGCCCTTGGCGGCCGCTGCTTGTGGGCGACAGAACTGGGAGGAAGTGCGAGGGGATGGGTGGGACGTTCTAAAACTCGAGTTGGGGATACAGAGCATCTGGGGGCCAGGAAAGATTTGACCTAACTGTGTGGAGGGGTGACTCTGAATGGGGCAGCTGCGGCCTAAAAAGGGCATGCCGAGCGTTGTGTCAGCGGTTCACGGAGCTGGAGCTTAGAAACAGAATTCGAGCGAAGCTTTGTGAACTTAGCTCTACAAGAATCACTTTAGCTCTCAGGATGATAAGCTGGGGAGTTTCTGGTTTTAGAAAAGTCATCAAAATGTGCCCCGTTAGACGTGCAGACATTCAAGTCTCTTGGGAAGGAGCATTCCTGAATGAGACTCCCTGAATGAGCAAAGCCATGGGAATTTTGGAAATGGTGGGGTGCGTAGAGAAGTGAGAGGAATGTGAGCAGGGGGGTGGAGTTACCTGGAACTATGCCAGGAGTAATGGTGTTCCGAGGTCAGCCTCAGCAGTGCTTCCTGCTTCCCTTCAAGGCATAGGATATTAGTTTGGGGACATTAAGGACATGGTATCAGTCTCTCAAACTGAGAAAGGCCAGAGACTTAACAGCAACCCATAAATTTAATGTAGGCCCTTTGCCCTCTTTCCTTGGACCCATGAACCAGATTCAAAACTTTTGTGACCCATTTGACTCCTCTATTCCCTCCAGCAGCAATCCCCCATATCCAGCCCCTGGGTTCTCTCAGTTCTGTCCTTGAAGTGTCCTTTCTTTTCTCTCTGCTCCTCCCCAGCCCTTCCTCAGCAGTATGAGCTGGAGTTCTCAAAGAAGCCTATAATTCCTGGCATGCAACTTCTCCCCTCATCCCACACTGGTACCCACCTCCTTACCCCTAGCTCCCTCCCACCCAGGATACTGGTTTTGTGATTGATACTTTCTTCTGCATTGGCCTTACCCAGGCCCATGAACTTTTTAAAAAATATAATATTAATTCTTTGAGAATTTTCTCACATATACATACAGTGTTTTGTCATCATTGTTTTGAGAGAGGATCTCACTATGTAGCCCTGGCTGTCCTGGAACTCACTCTGTAGACCAGTCTGGCCAAACTCACAGAGATCTGCCTGCCTCTGCCTCTTGAGTGCTGGGATTAAATGCATGCACTACCACTGCACCAAGCACTAGCAAGTATTTGATCATATTCACTGTCCACTCCTCCCATTAACTCCTTCCAGAACTACATACCTCCTACATACCTCCCACCTTTCACTGAACTTTCACTTCACCTGGCCCTTTTGTAGACTAGACCTGCATCTTTCCCCTCCAGTTCTTCAGCCATTGTCACCTTCTCAGAAAGATTACTCTAAGCACCCTATTCATTTTGCACACAAGCCCCTCATCTTGCTCTATTTTTATAGTAGCACCTGCACTTCCTAAGTCACTGTAAATTTAATGTTTTTGTTCTTTGTTACCTCACTAGAAGGTGGGCACACATGGGGCAAGCATCTTTTGTTCACTGCTGGCACTCCAGTACCTGGAGCAGGGAGGAATACATGTTAGGTATTCAGTGAACCTTAGTCTATCAGCAAGTTGGTAAGTAGTTTCTTAATTTCCTGTTATTTACCTATATACCCTCTACCAACATACACACCTGCTCCACCAAGTCAGTCTTGCAGTGAACAGCTCTGGTCAGGTCAGTGCCCTGCTTATAACCTTCCGTTTAGAGAATAAAGCCCATTGAAGCCTCCTGCCAAGTTTCACCCCTACTAACCTTCTTGACTTCATGTCCCTCCATACTCTTTGCAAAAAGTGATTCTTAAATATTCCTCAAAAGTTCCTGTATTAGGGGCATGGTCCCCACCCATGGTGTTATTGGAAGGTAGTGGAACCTATACAGAATGAGATATGCTGGGAGGCTATTAGGTCATTAGGGCCATGCCTTTGAAGTGGATTGTGGGGTTCTTATCTCTCTTGCTTATACCAGAGCCAGTAGAAGCTAGGCTCTGGTATAGTAAGTGGGGACCCTGAGTGGCATCTAGTAAATTCAAAGCTGGGTACCTTCTGTGTCCTAAAAGTAAGTAGTCAAGCTGACATGAAGAAGTGAGAGACATGTGGCATATCAGGTCTGTGAAAAGACAGAGTCCAGGGAAATAATGGCTCACCTGAGACCTCCCGCCCCTATCTAGCCCAATTTGAGCCCATATTTCTTCCTACCTCTTGTACCAAGCTTTGAGTAGTGGAATGTTGAAATTTTCTGTACTTTAGAACAGAATTAAGAACTAGGTGAAGCACTTTGGGGTAAATTGTTATGCTCTACCTTGAATGCAGTGGGGAAGGAAAGTTTATTCTACCCATGTTTGCCTGAGAGTTTCTGTCTTACTCATTGTTTCCTTCTTTCTGTGCTGGGGATCAAAGCCAGGGCCTTGTGCATACTAAGCAGCCTGTATTAAGTATACACAGCATGGCCTCAGGTAAGCTGGAGAGGTATAAAGTAGTGGTGGAGTTCAGAAGAGGACTATTAGGAGGTGAGATAAAGTAGACCGCTGCTAGAGAAATAATATATATGATGATAATAGCTGCTTTTAGCAGGGTGTTTAACAAGTATTTGGCACTATGCTACAGGCTTTGTCTTTGTTTTCCACTTGATTTTCTTTCTCACCATGACCTTTTTTTTTTCTTTTTTTTCATATCTTTTTTTTTTTAAAAAAAGATTTATTTATTATGTATACAGTGTTCTGCTTCTGCTTTCATATATCCCTTCAGGCCAGAAGAGGGTGCCAGATCTCATTACAGATGGTTGTGAGCCACCATGTGGTTGCTGGGAATTGAACTCAGGACCTCTGGAAGAACAGCCAGTGCTCTTAACCTCTGAGCCATCTCTCCAGCCCCTCACCATGATCTTATAAGGCTATTTGTTTTATAAATGAAGAAGCAGTTGCATTTCTTTTAAATGACTCCTAAGACAATTTCCTAGTCAGAGATAGAACTGGGATTTGAACCCAGGCACAGGCTCTGGATTCATTAGTTTATAGCTTTGAAGAGTGGAGGGATATGTGCTTTGGCAGTGGAGGTAAGCAGGGATAAACTTGGTTAGTAAGTTTGCATTCATCTCCCAGGTCTGTGTAACACCTGACCACATACTGCATAACTTAAAACAACAAGACTCCAAACCTGTAGGAAGCATTCCCTTCCTGCAACTATGATAAGATCCCACAGGCAGGCAGAAGACCATCATGGCCCAGATACACTACAGAGACTCCTGCTAGAGTTTAATAATGATGTTGGCAGGGTTGCAAGCTAGACATGAGAATCCTCTTGCCTCCATTTATGCCATCTGCCTTCTCATTTACTTCCCTGAGGATCTGACAAATCTATTTGCAAAGTGAGGAGTAGGCATTCATGAGTCCTGAGGCCAGCAGGCAGGTGAGTGCCTGCCTATGCTAGGCCCTGTCTTGCATGCCTATGATTCAACAGCAAGCATGCCAGCTCAGACTACTTACAAGACTGGTACAAGGTGCCCTGATTCTTGTTCTCCAGCAACTTCTGTCCTAATATACATAGAAACATGAGTCCAGTTACAGCCACATATGTTTGAGGTGAGTAGATGTCAAGTCCCTGCAAGTGTGCAGGGAGTGAGCAATAAAGAGAGAGATGGAGCAGGCACAGAGCTGCAGGTTAACTATCCATATTCATTAGATATATGCACAGAGACCCAGGAAAAGACAAGTTCTGAAATATACTGAACTGATGTATTGGTTATTTTTCTTGTTGCTGTGAGAAAATACCTGGGGAAAAGCAACCTATGGAAGGCAGGGTTTTAGTATGGTATGAGAATACAGTCTGTCATGATAAGGCACTCATGATATCGGGAACATAAGGTAGCAGGTCACATTGCATCTGTAGTCAGGAAGCAGAGAGAAACGAATGCTGGTGCTCAACTCACTTTCTCATTTATTTTAATTTAAAAAGAATTAAGATTTTTAAATTTTATTTTATGTGTATAAGTGTAGTGTCTGAATTGTATATATGTGCATTACATACATACCTGGTATTCACAGAGGTCAGAATAGGGTGTAAGATCCCCAAGCACTAGAGTTAAGGACAGTTGTAAGCTACCATGTGGGGGCTGGGAACCAAGCACAGTTCTTCCACAAGAGCGGCAATTATTATTAACCACTGAGTCACATCTCCATTGCTTTCTCATTTTTATTGAGTCCAGGATACCAGTCCATGGAGTAGTGTCAACCACATTCAGTGTATGTCTTTGCACCTTAGTTAAACTTCTCTGGAAATGCCCTTACAGACATGCCTAGAAGCCTCCTAGAGATGGTTCTAAATCTTGTCAGTTTGACAAGATTAATAATTACAACTGATAACTTCCACTGTGAGTTTATAAAACTTCTCTATAAATGACCCATCAAACATTGAGGGTTGTAATATCCATTTCAAGGAAATTTATGCCCACAAAATATATACACTCATAAAATCAAATCCTCTGGGGATGTATGATGCACCAATTGTTTGAAAGTATCAGGCTGTGGAAATTGGATTGGAGCCATCACAAGACCCAGTCAGTGCTGGCTGCCTGACAATTCTTTCCCCAGTGGCATTCTCTGTGTTTTCTTTCATGGGTAGACTCTTTTATGTCTGGTACATTTTGCCATTTATACATATTGCATCAGTAAATACATTCTTTGTGTTTGCAACTTGATATTGTAAGTAAAAGAAGAGGGGAGGTCTTCACCCGGGCTGCACTTTTCTCTTTGGTAGCATCATTACATTTGGTTACTCCTCTCTCCCATTGTGAAGT